AGGAGAGACTGGAGGAATGGAATACAATGCAGGGGGTGAACTTGTTTGAAGTACATTGCACACAAGTATAGAATCATCACAATGAAACCTCTTCATATTATTAATGTTTGCTAATTCAAAATATAATGAAACTATTAAAACCAAACCAAACCAACCAAACAACAAATGCTGGCAAGTCTGCCAGGGGTAAAGAAACCCTTTTACCTCTATTGGTGGTATTGTAAATTAGTGCAGCCACTATGGAAATCAGAATGGAGATTCCTAAAAGAACTAAAAATTGAACTACTATGTGATCTTGATATACTGCTCCTGGTCATATATTGAAAGGAATCAAAGTCAGCACACAATAGAGATTCTTGTATATCCATATTTATTGCAACTTTATGCAGAATAGCCAAGATACAGGCTCAGCTGAAGTACCCATAACTGATGAATGGAGAAAAAAAAGTCATATATATACACAAAAGGGTGCACTATTTGACCATAAAGAATAATGAAATTGTGTTATTTGCTGGGAAATGGATGGAACTTGAGTTCATCATGTTTAATACAATAAGCCAGACTGAGAAAGACCTTATTTTTTACTTCTTACCTTTACTTCTGTTTTCTTCTGTTACCTTGATATTGTTTTTAAAAATTAATTTAATTTCTCAAATTTTTGTTATTTTTTAACTGTTTAGCTTGTTCTGTATTATTTTTACACTAGTCTTTTCTGTTGTTGGTGTTGTTTTTACTTGGATTTACTCTGTTTATCTGGTTTTCTTTTGTTGTTGTTCTTGTTGTCTGTCTGTTTTCTTCCCTCTCTTTGGTTCTAATGATCAATATTAGCACTTTTATTATGTTATAGTTGTGTGCTGTGATGATGAAATACAGTCCCAGCTTAGATGAGAGGTATTTTACTGTTACTCCAGCCAGGACTCAGTCCTATTTGAACCTTCCAGACACTGCAAATGAAAGAATAGGGGAAATAGGTAACGTAGTGCATTCCTGTAGTTCCAGTGCTTGGGAGGCTGAAGCTGGAGTATCATGAGCCTCAAGACAACTCCTTAACCAGGGCACTCTGGCCTGCACAGCAAGATCCTCATAGAAAAAGTCAGGGAGATAAAAGCCCCAAGCTAATGACATGGACTCACGTAGTCATGGTTATGGGTACTTAAAGCCCCACTGCTAGATATTTTCATGATGTCAACAGTATAGAGAAATAGCACCGTGATGTGGACAGCAGAACTATTAGGACAGATCACTCTCATACCATATCAGATGACTCATTGATGACTAGATTATATATCCCATGTATTGTTCTGTGTACATCATATCTACCCAAACTACCAGGGGGAGATCACTCTTGCAAGATCTCCAGAGAAAGTCTCCAACACAGAATGTAAAACACCAAAAAGTCACTAATCCCAGACAAAATACTACAGAGAAACTATACTAAGAAGTTAATTTGGAATTAAACACAACATTACACAACAAATTGATGCCCCAGGACACACATAAAAGTGGAATAAGTAGTCATATCACCACATGTATGATATGTGATTTCAATCTCAACACTGAAATACAAGAAATATGAAAAATAAAGCATCATGACAACTCCTAAAGTTCAGAATTCTCTACTAACTGATTTCACAGGTATTGAAGTAGATAAAATACCAGACAAAGAATGACTTTTTTTGGAAAAGCTCAATAAAATCCAATAGGATGCATGTTGGAGACCATGTGGTATAATAAATATCAGAAGTTCATGAACTTGTGGCCAGATTGCCTGGCAGACTGGGCATCTGGTTATAGGGTGTGATACTGCAGGCGATGTCTTCCCAACATTATTCTAAGAACCATGAATTCCTTGCATGTGTGATTGTTCTAGCAATCAATAGTGTTACGTGCTGTTTTTCAGAGCACAGAAATTTAAAAATACATCCTGTTTTGCCCAAAGTTAACTATTAAACCACATATGCTTCATAATCAATAGCTATACACAGCAACTCAATAAATACTGAGGGAGTTGAGCACTCTGGGTCTGAGTCCTTTCTCAGATCCCCAGCCTTCCCCTTTGTTTCCAAATTTCATGATGACTCTGAGTCTTTCTTTTCAATGCACACTCCCTCCCTTTTCTCTCTAGGTCTGTGGCAGATGTAAATAAAAATTTGAATAAATAAAGGAAGGCATTTACCTATAAGACAGTAATTCAATAAAGAGAGATTTTGAAAATGAACCAAACAGATACCTTGGAAATGAGAAGTTAAGTCAGAATAAAACTCACATGTAAGCTTCACCAAAAACTTGATCAGATAGAAAACAAAGAATATTAGGGCCTAAAGACAAGACTGAAAAATTATCACATACATGTAACAATAAAGAAAAAATAAGAAAGAATGAATAGAGTACACAAATACCTGGGATTCTGTGAAAAGACCAAATATACACGTAACCAGGATAGACAAGGAAGAAAAGCTACAGGCTGAAGGTAAAAGAAAACTATTTAGTGGAATAGTAGTGGAAAATTTCCCAAATATTGGGAAAGACATGGACATCCAGGTATAAGAAGCATTTAGGATGCAAAATAGATACCCCCAGAAAATAACATCTTCACAGCACACATCTTCCAAATGTACAGAACAAAGAAACAGTGTTAAAAGCTACAAGAAAATAGTACCAAGTTGCATTTAAATGAAAACCCATTGAATGAACTGCAGATTTCACAGAAGAACCCCTAAAAGTCAGAGGGCATAGAATGATGTATTTCATTTCCAGCCTGTATTACAATACACAGTAAAGTGATCATTCATAATCAAAGAAGACATAATGACCTTCCAAGACAAGAATAATAAAGGACTTCATGATCACCAAGCCGGCATTACAGAAAATACTTAAGAGACTCCTACACTTATAATAGGAAGAAAGATATATTAATTCATTACAGCATGGGAAAGAATAACCTCACAAGGAAACAGATAAGCAAATGAGAAAGAATGAATATTACTGACACAGTAAACCATCAAAACTCCAAGATCAACAACAGAGCAAGAAAAAATACAGAATATTAAAAAAAGTCAGAAGAAAACAACAAAATGAGAAGAATAAGCACTTGACTTTCAATAAACATGAATGGAAATTGTCTTAACTTTATAAATAAAAGATACACTGTGGATTGGATTAAAATGCAAGATGCAACACTGTATTCCCTCATGAAACTCTTTTCACCAGCAAAGACATATACTGACTGAAAGAAATAATTAGATATCCCTAGTAAAAGGAATTCAAGCAGCAGGAGGAGCTAAATTCATATCCATAGAAACATATTTAACTAATAATGAGTTAGAACAGATGAAGAAGGTTGATAGAGAGTACAATTATCAAGAAGATATAATAATTTAAAATATATGCACTAAACTTCAGGGCAAACAAATGTATTTCAAAAACACTACTAGATATAAAGGGAGAGACAGATCCTAATACAATGATAGTGGGTAACTTAAATAGCTCATTCTAACATGTACATAGATCATTCCGACAAATATGAACAAAGAAGTATTGGATTTATATTTTAATATAGATCAAATGGAGTTAACAAACATCTACAGTATATTCCATCCAACAGTTGCAGAATACACATTCTTTTCTCAAAGGCACATAGCTTTTTTTCCAAAATAGGTCATGGTATTCCCCATAGTTATTGCACAAGGAGGGAGGAGATAAAGTACTATTTCCCAACTTCCAGTATCAGAGATCTGAACCTTCCAGTGCACTCATTCTCCTTCCTTTTGAATAATGACTTGCATATCCACTAAGCTCTTTCCCCAAGAGACAAGCTATGCCACACAAACATCTTGTTTCAGAAAATAGGAACCCACTTGATCCCAAACCTCCTGCCTCAGGAGACACAGATGACATCTCCCAAATCCTTCCTGTCTCAGGGACTTAACCTCAAAACTCCTCCCTCACAGAACTGTAACTCAAAAACATCCTATTTTCTTCACCTGGGGCTTTCTAATTCCCTGTGCTATGTACTCTGTGCTTTCAGCACACTCATACCTTAACCTGCCTTATAAAATGCCCATTTCACCTTCCTGCCAGGCACTTAAAACTTTCCTTACATCGGGCTCCCTATGACAGACCCCATAAGTAGTCTCAAACAATTTAAATAATTGAAATAAATTCTTGTATATGATCAGTCACAATGGAATAAAACTAGAAGTAAAAAGAAGAAAATCTACAGACAGAATACAAACATACAGACATTGACTAAATACACTTTGGAATAAACCATGGGTTATTGAAGAAATCAGAGGGGAATTAAAAAAATTCCTAAAATCAAATAAAAATCGAAACACAACAAACATTCCAGAACCTGTGAGATACCACTTAGCAGTACTAATTGTGAAATTTATAGCCATGTTGTTTATATTTAAGAAACAAAGAGATCCCAAATAAATTACCTGATGATGCATTTCAAGGTACTAAAAGAAAATTAATGAACTAAACACCAAATCAGTAGAAGGAAAGACATAATAAAAATCTGGGCAGATGTAAATGAATTGGTGTTTAAAAGAACAATGTAAAGGATCAACGAAAAACAGTTGACTCTTTGGAAAAAAGCAACAAAACCGAAAAATGTTTAACTTAATTAAAAGAGATGACAGAGCTAATAAGAGGTGAATTGAGACACTGCAAAAGATATTACTGAGATTCCAGGGATCATTCGGCAATATTAGGGGAAACTAGGGGGTAGCAGGCAATATTTTGAAAATAAGATATCAGTAATTGTGAAATCTGAAATAAAAGGACAAAATTCTGGGCACACATGACCTACCAAAATTGTTACAAGGGGATAGTTATGAACCAGGGAGAGGAAAGAATGAATGGGGTTGTGGAAAGACAAGTAGCCAAAGGACACTGCACCATCTTGAGGGCCAGCTGGGTTGGGGAGGGAAGGAATAGTGAAGTGAGGCCTGAAGTCCACATGTCCACATTTCCCCACACTGGGACGCACTCACCAATGCCTTTGATGAGATTGTGGAAGATGGCCAACCTGCCTCGTCCGCTGAATTCCTCAGCCTGATCCACCAGGGCTTCCTTAAGTGCCTTGTATCCACACAGCACCACGAACCGTCGAGGACCAAGGTATATGGTGAACACGGGACCATAGGTCTTACTGATCTGATGGGCATGGATGGGAGAAGTTAGAGGGGACACTGCCTGAATTAGTCCAGTATGCAGAAGCCAGGTACTTGATACATTTCTCGGTGGTTTTGACAGTGAAGAGACTGAACATCCCAACCACTGCTCTTTCCTCCTTAGGAACTGCCTGCTGAACCTTAAAAAGTGCCATATCCTAAGATTCTGTATTATCCTGATCAATATCCTTCCACAAATCCCCAGACAAATTTTGTAACCCCCATGCAAACCCATCTCCCCTCCATTTCCTGTCCATTGACACCTTTATGATGGAGGTGTAAAACTCTGTCTTCAGCTGCAGGTAGTTCCCGATGAAGGGCAAGGGTGCTGGCCCAGGAGGAAGCTTCCCAGAGAGCTTCTTCTGATACCATACAGACTTCAACACCATTACACTCAGGAAGGCTACCACAGCCAAGAGAAGTAGCCCTAAAGCCATCGTGGAGGCAGTAAGGGTGACAGGAAAATGGTGATGGCTGAGATGGTTTGACTTTATATCTGTGGAATAGAAGGGTGGCCTTTGGTCCTGATTTTATGATTGTTCCATTGCACCACCAAATCTCATTTCCCAATATCCACCCTCCCGGGGTTGTGAAACCTGCATTCAGGGAGGAGGAGGAAAAAAACCCGGGCATATCTATAAGGCACTAGGGCTTCAGTATGAATTTCCAGTGCTGAAGAAAGAGGTACCTGAGGCTTTTGGGTTAACCTTGGCAGGAGTTCAACTCCAGATCTAAAGATTCTGGAGTGTTTGCATGAACGAGAGCCTGAGATTTGTGTTTGGATTCCAATACTGAGAAACGATCTTACAAATGTGGATTTGGGGGTCTACAATAAGATTGAAAGTTCTGGATTTTTATTGGGATGAGATAAGACTTGAGTAGCTGTGGATTTGGGGATCTGTTAGTGAGGAAAGTCATAAGGTTAAAATCCACATAAGGGAATATGCTGATTATGGATTTGAAGGTTTTGTTGTATAAAGGACTCAGTGCTATGGATGTGAAGTTTCTGGGAGAAATCTAACAAAAGCCCAGAACAAACCAAGAGTATACACCTTAGCCTAGTTGTTACCGTGTTTGGCTTTAGCTTCATGCTGTGACTTGTGGGCATGGAAATTAGAACCTTCATTTCCTGGGAACTTTCATTAATCGGGAAAACTGTGGAAGACCAGACTCTCATTTCAGTTGAACTTCGCACAGACCTGTAGAAGATTAACTCAGGGTCAGAGTTCTCAGAGAGGCTGGCCAGGGATTGGGAAACAGTAAGGACAAATGCAAGTATGGTAAAAAAAATCTGGACTCTTCTACAGGTTATAATTTATAAATAGTGCCACTGGATTACTACCCATATCTTTAGAGAAGCTTGCATGGTTTGTAGGATTGTCTCCTTATTCTTATGCATGTGTGAATATGTCATAATTCAAACCTATTACATTATACAATTAGTATACACCAATAAATTGGTACCTTTAGCTATGTACATATCTTCATTTTTTGTGGTACTGGGGTTTTAACTCAGGGGCTCCTGTTGAGTAGGCAGGCACTCTACCACTTGAGCTATGCCCCCAGCTCTTTAGGTTTTACTTACTTTTTAAATATGGTGTAAGACTTTTGCCTAGGCCACCATGGACCAAGATCTTCCTATTCATGCCTCCCTCATAGCTGAGACAACAGCCACTCACCACCATACCTAGATTATTTGTTGAGATGGGGATTCACTAACTTCTTGATCAGTCTGGCCTTGATCCACAATCCTCTTGATCTCTGCTCTTGAGTAGCTGGGATTACAGACATGATCCACCATGCCCAGCTTTATAATTCTTTTTATGTCAACATTGGGAATGAATTTACATTACTGAATTGTGCCTTGTGGCCTCATTGAAGTTCAACTTGCTAAAACAAACTTGTTCATTTACTGAAGGAAAGAAATTAAGTACATGACTCATGGATCACTTCCCCATCTTAGCAGAAGCTAAGACTAAAAATGGAACAATCAGAGCATATTTATGGAGGGTAATCTTGCCTAATGGGGGGAATTTCCATGCAAAAGATGGGAAGCTCCACAGGACTTGAGAATGGTTTATCAGGAAATTCTGCCAGCTAGACCTTGAAAGACACAGAAACAGAGTGAATTCAAGTAAGTCTGTCCAATTACACAAGCAGCAAACAGTCTGAAAAGACCCATTGCAACCACATAATGCCCTTAATGAGAAAGGAAGTACAACTCTAAGGACAAAGAATCAGTTTCATAGAAGACTACTGAGGGCCAATGCTGAGTAAAACTTTTGTGCTGAAAGACAGTGGAAGAGGGAATGAAATTGTTGAAGGAGTAGGGAATTCTGGAATGGGAAATATTTTGTGTGGCCTGAACACTACCTAAAGATTATGTTCCACTCTAAGGACCACTGGATCCACCATTCACCAAATCCATCCAGAATGTAATTGGGAAAAGGAGCAGTAGCAGCATGAAGGAGTTTAGTGGTTCTTTTCTTTTTTTTTTCAGTAGAATTAGGATTGGTGGTAGTAATGGTGACCATGGACTTGTGGGGTTCCAGGGTCTCTAATTATATTGGTGACTAGGAAGTACAGAGGGACAGACAACAGAGCTTGGCCCACAAGGACTTATGCAGATGCTTAATTGATCACGGTGCTCCAATATACAGACAGAAGTAATACATAGCATCTACAATCAGAAGAAAACAATCATTGTGGTAAAGAAGCCTGAGGGTGGCTTCTTTTTTTTTCCAATAAATCTTGCTCAGGTGGACCTTAGTCATTGTTCTTATGAGGAATCCACTGACTTAGAAGGTCTTCATGAGTAAAGGTTTTGTACCACTTGGGCAACTGTGTACCACAAAGATTTGCCTTATGCTTCAAAAATGCTGCAAAGCAACATCCAACTGGGTAAGAAATTGTACCCTGTGGAGGAAGCAACAATCAAATAGATAAAATACCTAAATCAGTTGATGTAGGATGGCACCTGAACAGAATGTCTATATGCGCTCGATTTCTCTTGCCATGTAAAAAGTAATCACAAATATAACAGCTTAATGCAAGATGAACTAAGCCAATCACAGTTCCGTTTACAGAAAGTTCACCTGGGTCACCTAGGTTCTCTGGTTAGTGTCTAATGATTCTGTATTCAACATGTAGACTAATTGGGCCCTTATTTGTAGGTTTTGTGAAGATTTCAGTTCACTCAGGTTTTGTGTAAGTGTAATTTTTTGCATCTGTAATAAACCATTTTCCTTGCTGGTTGTTATTTGGCAGCTCCTAAAGGATCCTTACATTCTTTATCATATAGCTCCTCTGATCTTCAAAGCCAGAAATGGCATGACTCCTTGGCTTTGAAGACAAACTCTGATTTTAAGGGCTCATATAATCAGATCAAGTCCATCCAGGTTGTCTCTCTGCTTGTCAACTATTGCATATACTCTTACATAATTATGGAGGGATTGCTTATCATATTCACAGGATTATGTTATTTATGTTGAGATATCTTGAGGAACTAAGTTGAAAATTCTTCCTTGGTCCACCTTCCACCATAAAACAAGATAGAAGTGGATGAAAGGGCAAAGATGTTTTATAATAAACTACTCCCTCAAGAATCTATACTTTTCTTTGAAAAGTAACCAAGTCTCCATAGAGAGAATTTCCCTCTCCTAAAGTTCCCACCTCTTAACATCACCAGTTTGGCAACCAAATTCTAATATGAGTTATGTTGGTTAAAAACCATATTCATACCATACTGGGTAGATAACAGGTTAGTGGTTTACAGTGATTAGGAATGGAGACAGGGAAAAGTGGGAAGGGTGTGACTATGGAGGAGAGAGCACTAAGTAGTTTTGTGGTTATAGAACAGTTCTGTATATGTTTGTGGTGCTGGTTATATGAATACGTACATGTGCTAAAGTCACGCACTGTGTGCAAGTAAAGGCTTTGAAAATTTAACAAGTTCTGTGGAAATAGCCAATACAAATTTTTGACTTGATGCCAAAACATAGTGTGGCAAGATGTTATTGGAGGTTTTCAGAATCTGCCATCCCAAAATGTGCCACTTGGGTACAAGGATTACTTTTACCTAAAGACAGTAGAAAAAGAGCTGGGCACCAGTGGCTCATGCCTGTAATCCTAGCTACTTGGGAGGCTGAGATCAAGAGGATCATGGTTCAGTGCCAGCCCAGGCAAATAGTTCTTGAGGCCCCATCTCCAAAATAACCATAGCAAAATGGACTGGAGGTGTGGTTCAATTGGTAGAGTGCCTGCTTTGCGAGTATGAAACCCTAAGTTCAAAGCCTAGTCCCACCAAAAAAAAGAAAGAAGACAGTGGAAGAAAAGTACATCCAGGAGGGAACTCTTTCTGTTCTTGAATGCAGGAGATTTAGTTACTATGTGAATGCAGGAGATTTAGTTACTATGTGAATGCAGGAGATTTAGTTACTATGTGAATGCAGGAGATTTAGTTACTATGTGAATGCAGGAGATTTAGTTACTATGTGAATGCAGGAGACTTAGTTACTATGTGAATGCAGGAGATTTAGTTACTATGTGAATGCAGGAGATTTAGTTACTATGTGAATGCAGGAGATTTAGTTACTATGTGAATGCTGTCATAACTGAAACACAAGGAGAAAGAATCTTGATCACCATAGATGGGGTGTCAAGGTTAAGGGAAATATGTACAAATATAGTTTATTAAACTAATTCTTGTTTACCTATTCATTTTTCCATAAATAAATGCCATAGCTCAAGCCCCAATGCATGGTTATATTTCCATATTTTACTACACTTTGGTAAACTTACTATGTAAGCATTTGGTTCTTACTGCTACTTTGGGTCTTCATTTTCTTTGTTTTAAAAATGGGTTTAATTAAGGTTAATTCATACATACATACATGCAATGTACTTTGAGCATATCCTCCCCCTGCATCCACTCTATTCACTTTCACACCTTCTGCTCATCTCCCTCAAATAGTCTTCCATTTATATTCATGTCCATTTGTTTCTTTAAGTGTAACTTCTGCATGGGTAAGAAAATGTGTTATTTTATGAATATGACTTATTTTGCTTAACATGATGATCTCTAGTTCCATTGTGTAAATATTTTCTTTATCCATTAATCCCTTGATAGGCAACTAATCTAATTATATTCCTTGGTATTAGAAACAGTGCCATGCTCTATAGTGTATGGTTTTGATAGGTATCTACCTATTGAAATGAGAATCTCTATTCTAAGATAACTTTGATTCTTTTGGTGACTTTGTTTATCCTATGTGGTTTGGAATGATGGGGTTACCCAGAAAGTAAAGTTGTGGTTATGAACAGGTTGGTTGTAGTGGTCTTAAGATGGATCTCTACACATACTCACCCATTTTACTTCCTTGAAATCCGCCTCCACAAATTGGATATAAAACATCCCGTATCATTTTTTTGTTCTGTT